CATATTAAGGAGGACACACACACGCACACACACACACACAGAATATATATATATGTATATATATATGTGTGTGTGTATATATATGCACATATGCTCATGTAACCTATACAGTTATGAATCAATGTATACGTATATGCATGCACCAACTTAAACTCACCATTTGTCGGCGTACATATGCAGGTGGACACCGTGTTTCGGCCTGTGATAGTAGGTTGGCAGTTGATTGATGCCTCTATCAATCAGATCATACAGCAACACCTCATCGCAGTAGAACGGGTCCGCTAGATGTAGGTCCTGATGAGGTCGGTTATGGAATTGTCATGGTCAGAAAATCACGTAGTTCTGTGACGGCATAGATAAATACCAAGCCATGGTACTTCGGAGATACAGCATTCGGTGAGTGATATAGCTTTTTATTTTGTTTTAAAGAGTGATAATACGTATTTCCGTGACTGTATACATAAGTACCAGCTGTGGTTCCATACTTCGGAGAGGTCTCATTCTCTGTGTGATGTAGTTTTGGTTGTTTTACAAGGCACAAGCCTGAATGGTAATGCGTATTTCATTTTTCTTTTGCTCTGGCTCACCTTTTTTTACTGTGACATTGCGTGTTTTACCAATTCGAATCACGAGTTAAACCCCTAAGCCCTAAAACCCTGACCTAGCAACGGCTTTCCATCGGGGATACCTAGTTATGCATACATGACCGTCTGTAGATGCTACAAGGACACTGGTGTTGTGCGTTTCAATGGGTATCGGTGCAAAATAGTACTCAATGGTCCACAGGGGCGTAGACGGCAAACTCTCGAACACATCCAGTTTCGCATATACATATCTCCAGCACAGCGTACGTTTATGTGTATGAACATTCGAACTGACATATAAGATCAGATAAACCACACATACACGTACCATACCTCTTTGCAAAAGGTCTCTACGCCCTTCTCCTCTATCTTAGTCCTATAGTCCATGATCAAGGGCCGGGTTTTGTTGTACCATGGTTCCACCTCGATGAAGTGCAACCCGGTCATGCGATTGCAGGCAATGTTCTGGTTCTTCCACCACTGCTTCGCTGTACAAGGGAGGTAGATATATTCGTCTGATAAGGCCAAGGTATGCGGCGTCATTATTAATGACGGGAAACGTATCGACATATAAAGTATCGTCTTTCTCTATGTATGCAGGGATTGTTCAGGGTCATGCGGTTGCAGGCTATCTTCTCGCCTTTCCACCACTGCTGCGTACATCTGAGAGAGCCAAGACCTGCGGGGTTCTGATTGCGGAAGCATATCTACATACAAGGTATTGCATTTGGTTAGGTATGTAGGGTTCTCCGGGATCTGAACAGGGACGTCTGTATGCATTGTTTTCGCCGGTGTGATTAATGTCATGGTAGCATACATCTGCCGCGTCCACGCGTGGTGGTGTCTACACTACGCATCTTACACCTGACACACGCATGTGTTTGTATTGAAAATAACTAAATAGTGTCACAAAGACATATTTATGACATGGTCACGGATTGTTGTATGACCACGCCAAGACGTCGTTAACGCGAGTCACCAACACTTTGTTTGTACATACCACGCCTGAAGGGTTCACAAATACGTATACAAAGTACACACCTTAAAATATATTAATATCATCCAAACGGAATTGTAGATACGTTTCGTTCTTCACATCACCGGCATATAACAATGAATGCACTACGTGCACATCAACCACATACATTCATCGCATACAGCCTCTCGCAAAGTGCGCTGGATATCAATATAGTATATATATATATATATATATAACTAAACCCTAAACCCTAAACATATACGTACATACATACATACTTACATACACACACACACACACACACACACACACACACACACAC